TGACAGAATGCATTCTTTTGAAAGGACCTTTTTCATCCTACACTTCTTCAAAAAGTCAGGATAGAGAGGGCAAAGGTCATCTTGAATAAGTAGGAAAATGATCCTGAAATAACCTTCTACACATATGAGAATTTTAAACAGAATGCATATACAAACAGACACAATGGCCATATTCTAGCTTCAGATTCTCATGAGAGACAAGAATGTCCTACCAAGGTAATAGTTTTTGCCTGTATGGCCTCTGATGGCATCTTGATCATGTTTGAGAAGGATGAGAGACTGATAGGAGTTTGCTATGTTCAAATTTTAAAAAAGGTAAAGATGTAGATTCATATGAATATCCTGAGGCTAGAGACAATTGAAACCCTAACAAGATCAATAAGGCCTTCAAATTTACATTCCAGCAGGATGGAGCTCATTGTCACAAGAGCATAGTGACTCAAAAATTTCTCAGGGATGAGTTTGTAAACAGGTTTTGGGATAAGGAAACTTGGCCTTCTTCACTGCCTGATTTGAACCCCTTAGACTTCAGCATCTGAAATGAACTGACCAGAAAACCTTGTGAGATGCCCCACAGTAAACTGCAAACCCTCAAAGAAATCTATCATTAAAACCTGGGTGGAGAACATTGAAAAAAAATTCATTAAAAAATTTTATGGTGCGTTGAGGATGTCATTGCCAAAGGTGGAGCAACTCTTGATGCCTAACAATTTGGACTTGTGTTAGAATTGTTCTTATCAATTAAAAATAAATACCAATATTCAAGCTTCGATTTGAAGTTTATTTCAATCCTTCATTAGCTTCCAATCCTTAGTCATTATTAATTAATGATGAATGTGTCATCTTCATTTATAATCAATTTCATCACAATTCTTTTGTTTAGCTTAGAAAGTAATTATACATTCTTATTGTTCAAAGTAGAGTCCAATAGTGTTATAAAAACCTCAGAGAATTCCAATAAGTTATCTTTAATCATTTCTAAGATACAACAGTTCAAAGCTTAATCTAACAATTGTACAATTTTGCTGTTACATCCTATATATATATATATATATATATGAATAAACTGTCATCTAAATGACACAAAATTGACATCTCATTTTAACAGATATATTTACCAAATTTACACAAAAAATATCTTGAAATACTAAATAAATTTATTCAATATATACTAAATATTAAATTTATTAAAAAAAAAAAAAAAAAAAAAAAAAATCACCATTGGCTTCAACCACAGCCTTTGGACAACTCCAGAATTTCCTGCAACTTTTCTGGATAGTCTCCTTGTTGAAGTTGGTGAATGCTGCCATAATCCTTGCCTTCAGTTCATTTTTGGTGTTACAAAAAGTTTTGCTTATTTCTCAATCAACTGCACCCCACACACAATAATCAAGCGGGGTTGCAGTTGGGGAGTTAGGTGGCCAGATATAAGGGGTGATGTGGTTGCAGAAGCTGTCTGAGAGCCATGGCTAGGGTTTCCTGCTTGTGTGGCAGCGAGCAGAGTTCTGTTGCCAGAGTCTTCAAGCAGCCACCCTGTTGACCCAGAGCAGAACTACCTCCTCAAGGCACTTAATGTAGACATCGGTGTTGAGTCTGAGGTCCTGTGAGAAAATCAATGGAGGCATAATATCATCACTAGTGATCACTCCAAACACCATGATGTCGACTGGATATATCATTCAACTCTTTCTGAATCCACTGCACTGTCCTCAGATTGACACCCAAATACTATGAAATGTTTGCATTGAAGCTTCTGGCACAAATTCGAAGCAGTAATGCATGCTGTTTCCAAATTTCTGGTAGAGTGAATAGTGTCATGGTGCTATTTTTCACAGACAGTACCCAACTGACTAAAATATATTAAGCCAGGCATTTATATATATATATATATATACATATATATATACATACATACATGTATGTATATATATATATATATATATATATATATATATATATATATATATATATATATATATATATCAAATTAATTATAATTAATTATATGTATTCATATAATTAAAAACTAATTAATTATATGTATACATATTAAAAACTCAAATGATCACTTCGATATCACAATGGGATCTTTGGACTCTGCAGAGCATTCTGGCCTTATAGGTCTTTTTATATTATATAATATTACAGCATATCGCGAAATTAATATAACTGACATTGGATTGTACAGAGATGATGGTCTTATGGTTATAAAAATATTCTACAAACTTTAAAATTGATAAAATTAGAAAACTATTATACAGGGAATTTAAATGCCTGAACTTGAAAATTACTGTAAGTACTAAGTTGAAAAAGGTGAACTTCTTTGATATAAGATTAGATTTAATAATTTATACACACCTTATAAAAAATCCAATACTAATCCTTTGTATATACACCCTAAATCTAATCATACCCCATCTATAATTAAACATATACCTTTATCAATCAAAAAGAGAATAAGTACAAATTCAGCAAATGAGAAAAATTTCTACGAACATAGTAATTTCTATAAGGCTCTAAAAATAATGACTACAAATGCCCCTAAACTCAATTATATAAAAAATGAAAGTGGAAACCATAGAAAAAACATTAGTAGAAAAAACATAAGTCGAAAAATCATTTGGTATACACCCCCATACAACCAAATGGTAAAAACAAATTAGACAAAAATTCTTTGCATTAATGATTAAACATTTTCCTAGAGACAGTAAACTCAGTATAATTTTTAATAAAAATACCCTAAAATTAAGTTACAGTTGTACAGAAAATTTGGAAATGATTATAAAGAAACATAATGGTAATATCTAGAGTAAACAAAGACCAAAATAATAAAAATTTAGATAGGAAAATAAAAAGAAATGGAAATAAAGAAAAATTATGTTACTGTAGAAATCCTCAAAACTGTCCTCTTAATAATAAATGTAGCACTAAATCAGTTGAGTACCAATGCAATATCTCATCTATTGAGGATACAAAGTCTACATTGGCTGCACAAGACATAAGTTCAAGAAGGTGGGTACTTCAATAGCAGCTCCTGTATCCGGTATCATTTGTAACATGTGCAGGGTCTTTCACAATCTGATCACTCACAACAGAAGAACTTTTGCTGATGATTTATTGCACAAACTGCTGTTGCATTGTTTGTCTCTTCAGCCTTGTTTACAGATAAGGTAACATTTGAAAGAGATGGAATAACAAATTTAAACAACCAACATTTATGGGTAGATTGGAATACCTATGATACAATACAGGTTAGACACCAACATTAGTTTATAATTAATGTGTGGGCTGGAATTGTAGGTAACTGTCTGTCAGCTTCATATGTTCTCTAAACATGTCTTACAGGAGCTGACTACAGAGAAATTACTTCAAACACACTTCCAGACCTGCTAGAGGATGTATCCCTGCTAATACAAAGAAATATGTGGTTCATGTATGATGGGGCTCCAGCACATTTTAGTCACATTGTTCGTGATGCACTGACTGATATCTACCACAAAAGATGGATAGGTAGAAAAGGACCACCCCCAATCTCAATCCTTTGGATTTTTATTTGTGGGGCCAACTAAAACAATTGGTTTATCCAGCAGATATTAATAATGCTTCACCAATGTGTCATGGGGCTTGCAAAATCATTCAACACCACGTGGGAGTATTTGAAAAGGTCCGCCAGTCAATGATCCAACAGGTCCATGTATGTGCAGAAGCAAGCAAAAGACATTTTGAATATCTGTTATTAGTTGCTGTATTGAGGTTCAACAATGGCCTTTTGGACATATGTTTATATAGACATTTTATCTTGTTTTGCTATGAGTAAGCCTCCGCCAAAGTTTATATATATATATATATATTTGTACATATGTATATATTAATAACTATACATATTATCCCTCACCGCTAACACAACCCAGAGTTTTATGCACGATGCAATCTTCTGGTGCTGAGTATTAACTGACCGCTATACAATTTGAATTATAATATATTTGGTTATCACAATGTTGGCATAGTTATATATTATGTTGGGATTACAGTTTTTTAATTTTAAAATTATATTTGGCATTAAATTAAGCAGGAATTATATATATGTAAAAAAAAGAAAATTAAAAAAAGTTATTCATTTTTTTTCCTTTTTTAATTAAAGGGAGATTACTTGTTCTTAATAGTAATTTACACTAAAAATTAAATTAAATTTTATTAACACCAGCACTATGTGTAATATAACTATATATATATATGCGTGTGTGTGTGTGTGTGTATATATATGCTGAAGGTAACATCAGCTGACGAATTTTACTCACGTTAATCTTGTGTGTGTGTGTGTATGTATATATATATAAAATTGTATATTTAGGTATCAATCCCACTTTTATGCATGTTTTATTAAAGACAACAGACAAGGTACTGTGATTAAGCTTTTGATTTACTTTTTCTTGTGTTTGAACAAGTGTTTTCTTTTCTGGACACAAATTGTAAAAACTGTCCAAAAGCTCTGTAATTCCTAAGATCTTTCGGCTATACTTTTAAAATTATCAAGGATTATTTTATTATGACTAAATATATGATTTATGTGTATGTTTCTTGAGTGTGAGGTATGTTTTCCAAACACAGTCAGCACATTGTGGCTATGTTCATAGTTAATATTATTGTGTGTTGAATTTTTTTTTCTTTATTATTAAGGCTTCCATTTGGAAAATAAAACATCCCTAACACAAGAAAAATTAAATAAAAAGCTTAATCACAGTACCTTGTCTGTTGTCTTTAATGAAACACGTGTGCATGTGTGTGAATGTTTTTATAAGAATCAAATCTTCATGCTGTGTCCAAACCATTCTTTTAGAATTTCTTTTTTTATCATAAACATTGTCATTCCAATTTTTCAAAGCATATCATTCAACTTCCAAAACTGTCCAAAATCTTTTCTTCTTTTTCTTTCCTATCATCAGCTTTTGTTTTTTCTCACTACAGCAATTTTTCCTTATATAACAAAAATGCAAACATACCTGATGACAAAAATGTAACAGCCAAGCTGGATACCAGCAAAATAGAGAACGACATATCCAAACGAAGAGAAGATGCCTTCACGGTTGGCATCAAAAAGCCCTGTTCGAGATCCTTGCCCATCCCAGCCATGGAGGATGTACTCTTGTAGGCCACACTGCAAATACCATTGGTAAGCAACACCAACAATAATGCTCACCAGCCAGCTATACGTACTTGATACAAAGCAGAAGAAAAATGTTGAAAAAATCTGAAAATGAAACGCAAATTATAAGAATGAATGCAAAAAAAAAAAAATGTCTCAGTTCTATTTTGTTAATTCAAACTTTTAGTGACAAATCAGGAAGATATAATTGTGAAGTTTTTATTTTATAGTAAATATGTTACAAGAAGGTTGATCATTGTTTGTTTTTTTTTTTTTTAAGCGTTTCACCCCAAGCAAGGCGGGAAGCCACTAGCACGCAAGGGGTTACAGAGAGTTGGAGCGAGAGCAAATAGGAGTGATAGAGGAAAGGATGAAGAGAAGGATAGGGCATCTGGTGATGTCAATTGACATTACATTTGAATAGTTGGAGATTATAGCTATCAGGGAAACAGGAAGAGGGGAGGGAGTTCCACAGGCGAGAGGTGCAAGACATGAAGCTATTGGAGCAGAAGAGACGGCTAACAGTTCCGACAGTGAAAGGGTGAGAGTGAGATGCCAGCCTAGTTGAACGGTTAAATTCATGAAGTCTGGGAACCAGCAAAAGCAGCTCATTGGAGCAGTTACCGTGAAAGTATTTGTAAAAAAAGACAGAGGGAGACGATGGCACGTCTGTGAGAGAGCGACTGCAGACGAGATGCCAGATCAGGGCCAATTACATTGCATATCTGTCTCTGGATCTTATCAAGAACCTTGAGACAAACAGAAGGGGCACTGGACCATATATGGCAGTAATACTCCATACAAGGGCGAATGGTTGATTTGTAGATTTGAAGGATCGATTCTGGCGAGAAAAATTTCCTGGCACGGCACAGGGAGCCAACTTTCCTTGCGGTGAACGAAGCTATTGATTCAATGTATTTGTTCCATCTCAGGTCAGTAGTCAATGTGAGGCTGAGTAGTCGCAAAGAGGAGCTCTCGAGAAGTTGCGTGTCAGACTTTCTAATGGGGGGGGGTCTCTGTGGAGAGTAATAGAGAGCAGTTTTATTTTTGAGGCGTTAAAGTTAACCAGCCAATTCCTGCCCCAATTCACAACTGATTGGAGGTCCTTTTCGAGATGAACAACCAGGTTAGTTTTGTTAACAACACTAGATTTTATTTTTGAGACAGGAGTAAATTGTAATGTTGTCCGTGTAGATGCCTACTTGGGAACCTATGACGTCAGGAAGATCGTTGATGAAGATAAGTAACAGAGTAGGGCGTAGGATGGAGCCTTGAGGAACACCTGCATTCGTGGGATAGGAGCTGGAGGAGAATCCATTGAGAATGACCTTCAATACACGGTTTGACAAGAATGATTGTATTAAGTCAAACAATCAACCTGAAATTCCATAATCCCGAATCTTGCGAAGAAGGCCTGCATGCCAAACCTGTAGATATCTAGAGCCATGGTACGAGCTTCTCCATTATTATGAAGAGCTTGGTAAACAATTTCAGTGATGGCCATAAGCACATCAGCTGTAGAACAAGCAAAGCGGAAACCATATTGCTTGTCGGAGAGCAGATCATGGGATGTAAGGTGCATAATCACTTTGGTGTTGATTAAAGCTTCAAAGACTTTGCCGAAGAGTGGTAGGAGACTTGTAAGATGGTAATTAAAAGAGTCAGAAGGGTCTCCAGAGTTCTTAAAGACAGGAACAATAGATGAGGACTTCCAACAGGGTGGAAAACAAGATTCATTGAGGCAGTAGTTATATATTTTGGAGAAGGCAGGGGACAGTTCAGGCACACATTTCTTCAGGACAATGGCCGGTATCCTGTCCCCACCACTAGCTTTGTGGGGGTCTAAATTAGAGATAATGCCCAATACCGATGACGGGGTTATGTGCAGCTCACTCAATAGAGCCTCAGTTCTAAGGGGGAAAACGGATGTGGGTACACCGGAAGAGTCGAGTGTTGAATTGAATGAGAATTTCCGTGCAAAGCATTCAGCATTGTAGGCAGAAGAGGCCCAAACCTCAAACTGGTTGAACAAAGGAGGTATAGAGGGTTTGCTATTGTTTAGTACCCTCTTGCAGAGATGCCAACAATCCTTGGAGCTGAATTTGTGAGATGCAATACATTCTTTCATTCGAGTAGCAAATAGTGACTTTGCTTCATTGAGGACACGCTTACACTCGGTACAGGCACAGAGACAAAGAGACGTCTCTTGCAGTCAGACATGTCACTATGATATAGGTGGAAGAAGTGGTTCCTATGGGCAATGGCAGCTGAGCAAGCAGCCGAGAACTAAGGGGATGAGCGCAATTTGACCTTATATTTCCTTGAGGGGATGAAAGCCTCAATTCCAGCTTTAACCCAGGAGGAGACCTCGGAAACACATTCTTGAACAGGGAGTGTAAAGACAACATCCCAGGGGACATCGCGAAGGAAATCCCAGAATGAGTCCCAGAGGTAGGAGGTTCATTGCAGGGGTTGGAGTTGAAGGAGATGTTGATAGACACTACAGCATGATCAGAATTGCCAAGAGGCAAGTAGGGATTGTTCACCTAAAGTCAGTTTTTAGGCTTTAAAGGTAAAAATATATGTCATAGAGCCAAGATTGTGAAAAGTGTTTACTACTTTCCTGGGTTAGGTGGGGGGGAGTGCTTATTACTTGGCTGGGTTAGAAGGTGGGGTCAAGTTTAACAAAAAGATAAATGACAAGTAATGACCAGATAGAAATACACAATGACTTTTCTGCAATCTGAAGATCATGCTGAAAAGTTCTTATTCTAACCAAGAAACAAAATATTCTGACATTGGGTCATTTTGTCAGATTTCAAGAAATGAGTTCAGTCAAGAACTTTTCAGCATATCTCTGTAAAGAAAGCACCAAGGCCAGCCTAAATTCTTAATTGATTTTTATAAAGAGAATTTTAAAGACCATCTTACAAGACAACATTCAAATCAGTCTCTTATTTAACATTTGTCTTTCAAAACTTTATCAGCTTTTAACAGATGCTTTTTTCCTATAATCCAATTTGAAAATTCATGTTTAAAAACAAAATAAAAAAATGGAAATTCTTCATGTAAGAAAGTATAACAGTTTCTCACAAGTTTACAAAAGGACCTTTTTTTTTTTTTTTAATTTTTTATCTTTGATTAATGTGAAATTAATGTCACCAATAATCTTTAAGGTATCAGTGGAAATTTCTAATTGTCACTAGTTAAATTGTCAACTGTAGATATTACGAGTGGTCGTTGAATTTTGAGGTGCGTTTTTGCTTACACTTGACACAAACAACTTTGAGAAAAGACGTAGCTCATGTGAAGTATAAATATCATTCAATAAGATTAAAATATACTCTCTCTCTATATATATATATATGAAAACAAGGGTGTCTTTATATGTAATATTCTGAGATGACCTATTCAAACTAGTGTCCTCAAAGTTTTTATCAAATTCATTGTCATATAGGAACCTATGGTGAGCAGAGCAAATAAAAAGAAAGAAACTGATTGAAGTTTTCCAGAAAAGAAAAACAACAGAGCCAGAGAGCTGAGAGAGAGAGAACATGTGTTAAGCTATTTGGTACATATAACCGGATGTAGTGTTGGTCGGTTTGGCAATTTATGTTACCGTATCGGTTTCCGTTTATTCCCCTTGATACCACGGTTTTCAATTCGGTTTTCGCTTTTTAATTTAGTATTTTTGCTTTCTAAGGAAGCCATCCATTTTCTTGTGTAATGATAGCATTTCCAGTCGATATCTGATTTCGTTTGTGGTTGATAAATTTGCAACTTAGTCCATTCAACTTGCAAATTCTCATGTATTTGTGGTCCAATCTTAAAAATATTCATATAGCAGGAAAGAAAATAAAATAATCTTTCTAAATCTGTAATTTGCATGTGCTTTTAGTCATTGAATTATTTTTCACAGAAAGTTAAAATTGTATTTTGCTTTGAACAGCCAAAAATGCGAAATATGATTTTGTTTTTGAGACTAAATTTTACATGTTACTTTGTTTTTCAAAATCAAAGTGACTAATCTTTATCAATATTATTGAAATTGTACACTCAATTAGAAGACACCTTAAACTACAACCAAGAAGATGTTCATTTCTTCTCTGACCCGTGGAAGCAAATTCCTTCAAAAATTATAAAGTAAGCCAAAAAAAATAAAAGATTAATTGATAATATGTGTGGTAAAAGAACTTTCAAATTATTGAAACTACTGTCTTGTTGTGTAAAAAATAAATGCCTCATATACTTTTCGACTTTCAAGTGTTGTTTTTTGAAACATCTGTTATTGTAGAAGTCTGTTAACTGGTGTCAATATTTGGTTTTAAGCAAGGGTAATAAAAATTTATAGACATGCGTTAAAGAAAGACCACTGGAATTGAAAACCCAAAAACTGTGAATCAGGGTGGGTAATAAAGTAGGAATTGTTCACCTAAAGTCAGTTTTTAGGATTTAAAGGTAATCTAGTCATAGAATTCATGACTTAGATTAAAGCTTATTAAACTTTTGAATAAATTGTCATCTATAAATTAAATAAGTACCATATTTATTAATACATTGGTAAAATACAAAAGAAATCTTCACATAAAATATCCATATTTGTTTGTGTCTTTGGGCAACACATTTGAGAGAGAAAATGGTATATAGCTCTCCAGAAATTAGTTTATGATGTGGCTTTTAAAAAGCCAAAAAAATGAAACCCCTCATGTTCAAAACAATTAAAAATATGGCAATTCTTTTCTGGTACGTCAGTCAAATGTTATTGGGGTTTTGCAAATAAATTTCTTCTAAACAAGGAAAATCAATAAGTTATTTTTTTCCTCTAAATAAATTTATGTTTTTATCTAGCGAATACTACACCTAAAATTAAATATTAAAAGTTTTTAGAATGCGTACATTTCCAAATCTGCGGGTATTACCTGTTCTTTTTTTTTTTTAGATACACATTTTAAAACTGAAATTAAAAACTATTTTAATCATTTTAATAAGTGTATTCACCAGATAAAACCATAAAGATATTTGTAAAAAATAAAATGAATTAATTTTCCTTGTTTAGAACAACACTGCCCAACACTAGTGGCTAAAAATAAAAATTTTTACTTTGG